GTATTTGTTCCTGTATTAAGAAATCGGTCACTTGTCATCTGCTGGAGCACTGAGCACTGGGGAGCCTGGCATTGGCCACTTAGACTGACTTCGTTCTGCGGTCCTCATCGTCCCAGCCATGAGAGAAGGTGTGGAATAATCCAAGGCCTGCGGCAGCCGCGCTGTGGAGTTCGCACCCTGATCCTCCGTTGTCGTCACATGTGACTTCACACAGATCAGTCACTGCCTCGGGCCTCTGCCTGCTCACCCTGTGGGACGCGGAGTGGGATGGATCTGAGGACTAAACTCATCCTGTCATGATTCCCACATCTTGGGTGATGAGCGCCGGCTTAACCCTGAAAGTAGAAGATGGACAAATCCGCTCTGCTGGCCTCTGTGATAGGAGCAGCTCATCCTCTGTGCCTTTGATCCTCAAGCCAACACGGCCGGGCAGACGTGCTCGAGAAATTGAGTTTTTATATTTTAGAAAGAGGTGAGGATGATGAAGACATAAACTGTATAACACGCCTGCCATTTTCTGGGGGGACGGGGGGCAGGGCACCCCCAGCAGGCTAAAATCAAATCAACATTTATGCGGAGTGAGATGCAGCCTATCAGAGGCCTCAGTTTAAAACCAAGTGTGTCACAAGAGAGTTTATACCATGCCGGGAAAAAGTTTAGGGCTCAGAGATTCTGAGACTTTTGAAACTGGGAGTGAACAGTTGTTCAGAGGACACGGCTGAGCCAGTCACGTAACCGACCCACAGGCGCGCACCTCTCTACGTATGAAGGTCACAATTATTTGGTTTTCCAGGGCTGTAGAAAGAAAATAACAAATTAGGTAGCTTAGAACAAGAGAAATTTACTGTCTGACAGTTTTGAAAGCTGAAATGAAGCCCAGAAGCAAGGTGTTGGCAGGGCCACGCTCCCTCTAGAACCTGAAGGGAAAGCCCCACGTGCTCCGGCGTCTGCATTTGCGGGCATCCTCGGCCTTGTCTGCAGGCAGCTGTGTTGTCCTCGCGTGGCATTCTCCTGGCGGGGCCTCTTGTGAGCACCAGGCCTGCCCGCTGAGACTCTGTCCATCCACAGTGACCGTGTCCATGAAAGGCATTCTGAGGCAGCGGCAGGACGCCAGCACATCTGTGAGAGACACAGATGAACCCGTAACGGCTGGTGAACCCTGAAGGATTTGGCCACATGCCCTCGAACACAGTAGAATCAAGGTAGTCAGATTAGAAGTACGTGGAGAGTTTCTGGGACCGAAGCATTAAGGGGCTCTGGTGGGACGTTTTCACCCAGTTAGTGTCTTCCCTGAAGAAGTGACATCTTAAGGGGAGATGAAAAGGTGACCAAAGTCAGCCCACCACAGGTGGAGAAAGCCACAAGCCCCCGCGCTCTCCAGCACCTGCCTCCTCCGTTCTGGGCTTGTGCAGGACCAGGCCCCACCGCAGGGGAGGCCCCATAGTTCTCCTGCAGTCAGGCCTCAGCCAGCCTTGCCCCGGGCTCCTTGGACCTGCAGCCCTGCCTCAGAATCTCCAAAGGCACAGACTCAGGAAAACTGCAAGAGCCCTGATCCACAAGTGCGACCCCGTGCAAGACGGAAGTAGCCAGGATCCCTGTTTTCCTCTTTTGGAACTGAGTCACTTTAAGTTTTCAGACCCAGAATCAACAGAGTGCTTAAGTACACAGGTAGTTCGCTGGCCTCTTCCCCTGAGGATGTGTAAAGTCCTTTTACCATGGCAGGCAGAGAGAGCTGTCTGTGGGGCTCCTCAGCACTGCTGGGTGGCCTCGAAGCTGCCTGCTGCCTGCCGGCCTCAGCCAGAATCTCTACCGTGAAAGGGGAGGGCAGTGGGAGACGGCACCAAGCTGTACTCCACAGCTGAGCGCAGCTGATCCGGGCACAGGAACCATGTGGCAGTGCCTTTGCGAGCTGCAGCTAAGTGGTCCTCCGCCTGGGGTGGTCGGCGGACTGTGACCCACAGCATTTCAGTGTTTCACTTAAAAGTGGGAGAAAAAACGTTTTTTAAACATACCACAGAGAAAAGTGCACAAGTCCTACAAATCCAGCTCAATGGTGGTTCAAAAGCAGACCCAGCTCCAGGCGCCCCGTCCCAGGAGCTCCAGCCCACCCCCTTCTCGGCCCTGCCCGCCTTCCAGCACCAGGAGTCGGGCGGGGTTGGAGCTCACCTGAATGAGATGAAGCAGCTGGGTGTTGTGTCTGTGGCTTTGTTCACTCCGTCCCAATTTGTCGCCTTCGTCCATGTGGTTACCTATTGCTATAGTGTATTTCCATCATTTTATACAGTGTTGTGTTAATATATCATCACTTTCTGTTTATTCAACTGTTGAGGCATCTTTGGGGTTTTTGCCCAGTCTGGGCTATCTACACAGCATTGCTCTGAATATTCTTCTGTTAACATTGGTGTGTGTTGTTGGGCGTACTGCATTCCGTGTGGGGAATCGGTATGTGTGCAAGTTCCATCTTGAGCCTTCTCGGTTCCCCCTTCTTCCCCTCCCACCATCTTCCCCATCCCAGGTCCCCTTTCATCTCCGTAAAGCCTCTCTCCCTGTTTCCTGCATCTATCTGTTGTTTTGCTTTTTAAGTTGTTCATACTGTGGGTTTCTCCTGAGGGCAGCCGTGAGCTACGTGACCTTCTGTGTCTGATTTATTTCCCTGAGCACTGCGCCGTCACGGTGCGTCCATTTTCCTGCAAATGACTCAAGCTCGTCCTGCTTTAGATGAGTAGTATTTTATTGTGAACATCCTAGGGAACATCTTCATACCTGTCTTTGGGTAAACAAGTGCACATGGGGAAGGGGGCACGACATAATAACCCTAACCCGAAAGACCTGAGTAGCTTGTCGCCACAGCCCTGTCCCTCAGCTGGTGTGACTAGGAACGTGGAAGCAGCGGGTGTGCAGTTCCCGCTCAGGCCCCTGCCTGAGGCTGCAGCCATCTGCAGGGGGGCTCTGTCTGGGGCTGCCGTTGACGGCTGCCAGCTGCGGTGGGCTGTCCCTCGGCGTCTGATGGCCCGGGCTTGGCGGCCGGCCTCCTCACCACTGCATGGGTGGAAACTGTGCCCTTACGGTGGAGCTGGAAGTCAGAGGACACACTCCTGCTTCGCTCTGCACATTGAAAATGAGCCTCTAGGTCCAGCCCCAAACCCAAAGGTGCAAGATGCAGAAAGCGGAGATGGGCAGTCTGGGGGTGGCGAGGGATGTGTGCACCTGTCTCAAACCGAGGAGCAGCACAGCATCTCAAAGCTTGGGACTAATCGTGCAAGAGATCTGCAGATACAAGAAGGGTATTGAAACTCACACCGCACTGTGGAAGCGAGCTCAGTTTTGGGTTCGTCTGAAAGTTTGTGAGTGACTGCAGCAGAGCGCTCACGGTATTTCCCAGAAGCACCATGGTGCAGTGAGGAGGACAAAGCTTTGGAGTCAGGTAGACCCAAGCTTGGTTTTCTGTTTGTTTTGTATTTTAGTTTTTGTGGCCCTGGGGCTCATGCCCAGATTTCCCAAGTTTGGTAGTGGATTTGGATTGCTAATTGTGGGTTCCTGGGCAAGTCAGCCTCTTGGATTCTCCCATTCCTTCAACTGTAAAATCAGGAAAATCAGTGGAACTTACATCTCTAGCAGTAATTAAATGAGATGAGGTGTTCACATGCCCTCTGAATGGTAGATTCCTTCTATGTCCTCTTTTGTCAGGAATTTGTTAACTATCTACACCTGAAAAGTGCCAGCTGGACACTGAGGATACAATCCTGACTCAGACACAGGCCGGCCATATACCAGGAGCTGTGTGCTCTAGCGGGGCCTTGAGAGGCAGAACAGCTGGAATACATCTGAGAAATGAGCCCATCTGAACCCAGTCTTTTAAATACAGATCAAATTTGAGTACATAAAAATGAAAGAAATTTTGAGGGGTAAGGAAATAGCAAAAGCTACTCCAAATCAGGGTATAGCTTTAGTAAAGAGGAGGCTAAGAAAACCATAAGGCATCAGTGAACATTTGAGAGCAATCCATTACCAGTGTGTCCACACACGCTGCAGCTGAAAGAGGTGAGGGCATGGGGTCTGACGTGGATGCGTGTGAGAGATGAGCATGCACACACACTGTGGGGTGTTGTCCCCATTAAGTTACTGCTAAAATTTAGGTAGACCATGCAGGCAGTCAGGCCAAGGATTTTTTAGCCAGTTCTTCAGCGACTGAGGGGTCTTGCGGTGATATTCTCGGCTGGCTCCTGTTTGTAGCATCCTGTGCCTCTGATGGTCCATGCTGTGCTCTAAACTCATCAGGAGGGAGAGCTGTGACTCAAGCCACTGAGCTTTGTCCTTATTGAAACAGTCTGTCTGTGGCAAAGGCTGTGGGGTGTTTCCACAGCCTCCGCTCTGTGCAGACGTACTTTCCAGACCTGGCCTTTTAGAGCTGGCCAGTTCCCGCACTGAGCTCCTCTGCGTTTGACCTCCCTGTGCGGATGGTGAGCTGCTCGCTCTGCTTACTTCCCTTCGGATGGGCTGATCTATCCAGCGGCCTCCACTTCTTACATCACCCAGTCCTGGGCAGTGATGATACTCAGACTGAAGACGGAGACATTTCTGTGCCTGAGAGAAGTTTGAGGGGAGTCAGAGCCAGTGGCCTTTCACTCTGAAGCCAGAGCATAGCGTTTTTCCATCCCGCTAAGAACGGAGGCCACAGAAACTGGCAGAAAGATTTCTCCGCTAAACCCACTAGTGAACGTGTGCTGCCCAAACCGTTTATGTCACACCTTGCCTTGGCCTGGAGTACCTGCCGCACCCGGGTGCAGCCTTTGTGCTGTGACAGCGGATGTGGCCATGACCCTTGCTGGTGACTCTGACAGGTCGCGCCGTGCATCCAGTGCTTTGTTGCGATGAATTCTGCACACTGAGAAGGGGGTGGTTTCCAAGCCAGTGTTGGGGCCAAACCCCCACATTCCAGGGGTCGCCTGAGCTCATGGCCCTGCTGGGAACTGAGCATCCTCTCCCCGACTTCTCCTCAGGTGGGAAGCTGGCCAATGGAGTCCATGTACCTTCACCTGCGGGGTTGGCCTGCAAACCAGAGATGTCTCCTGCTCCGGCTGGCTCTCCACGGAGCTGAGAGAGAGGGTGGCCCTGGCTGACCAGCTGTGCCCGGGCCCCAAGCCCAACACAGTGCAAGTCTGCAACCGCTTCGACTGCCCGCCTGCCTGGGACCCCGAGCCGTGGCAGCCGGTGAGTGCTGAGGGTCTGGGGTGGAGTTTTGTTTTCAAGAGCAACTGGGAATAAGGTTCCTCTTGGCCTACAGCTTTGCCCATTAAAGGAATGTTCTAGGACTTCCCATCTCTCCATTGCTAGTGACCTCATTCAAATCTAAAACTTTAAATTATAAATGTCCTTTTCCTTTTTCTTTTTTTTTTTTTTTTTTTTTTTTTGAGGAGGGGGCACTGTAATTGAACCCAGACCTATCATACCTCAGCTGCACCCCAGCCCTTTTTATTTGAGAAGAGTCTCACTAAATTGCCCATGCCAGCTCAAACTTTTGATTTGTCTGCCTCAGCCTCCCAGGGGACTAAGATTATAGGTGTGTACCACCACACCTAGACCCTATTCTTTTTATTGTACCACACCCCAGTGATCTCCACAAGCAACTCCAATCACCCATATGTTAAAAGGAGCATATTCATTATAAAACTTTCACCAAGGTATGGAAAATTGGGCAAAATACGGTAAGTTTTCCCATAAACCTAAATTTGTTCTGATTTTATGCACTTACTAGTTTTTGCTATTTAAAATTCTAGAAATAAAGCAATGACTTTTTAGATGATATTACTTAAATAAGTTAGAAATCTTGAGTAAATTTCAGATTTTTGTTTTGTTTTTCTGGTTGTGTAAGTTCCAAAAGTCTAGAAATTGTTGAAAGTAGGGCTTGGAAAAATGTGGCCCACAAATTAAATCTAGCTTGCAGCCTTTCTTATAAATAAAGTTTTATTAGATCGCAGACACATGTATTCTTTTACATAGGGTCTCTGGCTGCTTTTACACTGCAAGGGGAGAATTTCATGGATGTAACAGAGACTATGTTGTCTGTCCCTTAAAAAAAAAATTGCTAGGGCCGGGGATTTAGCTCAGCAGTTCGGTGGCCTGCCTTGTAAGCGCAAGGACCTGAGTTCAATCTGTGGTACCAAAAAAAAAAAA